GAAAACCTTGATTTATTTTACATGAAGGCGTAGGTGTCAATGCAATAGAATCCTAAAGGAACGTGAGAGATTTTATATGACTTTTTTGTCATTGAGGTGTTTGAAATATAACCAGGAAAGGCGATGCAGCCTGGTTGATTTAGTGAATGGAACCTTTGGGGAAAATATTTCCCCAAGTAGTAGGGTGTACTGTGCCTTTAGTCGTTCAGAACAACCAAGTACAACCAATGGCCAGATAGAATGGCCTGGCGGGCCGCATTTTGCCCACCCCTGCCCTAACCCCTGACCTTTGCCACCAGAACAACCAAATCACCTAACCAATACTAATTCAACTAGAATTGCTTCATAGTTATTAGGGACTGGAAGGGACCTTACAGATCATCGGGTCCAGTCCCCCTGCTTTTGTGCCAGGCCCAAAATCATGCTTTGGGAATCTCCCTGGGGTGCCTACATTCAGCCATCCCCCTTCCTGGAGCATACCCACAAGCCTGGGGCTGTCCTGTAGGGCCAGGCCGACTCGCAGGATCTCAAAAGTGTGCTGTTAGATGAGAGGGTGTGACACAATTGCACACATACACACAAAAATCAATTAGGCGCACACATGCACGCACACACTGCACATCCAAGATTACTGGTCTAAGCACATGAACACCTATCACCAATTCAAGTGAGTTCAAGTGTGTGCTTGGGGTACTTGGAATACTTAGGGTGCTTGGTGACTATGGGAGGGAGTCAAGGGTCAAAGGTTTCTGTAAGGAGTGGGGAAAGAGGGAGATGGATGGGGATTAAGAAGAGAGAGTAAAAAATAGAGTGAAAATTGCTGGGGCTGGTATTAGAACTGGCAGACTGGAAGGGGAGCTGGGGTTACTTAAGGTCAGGTGACCCCTGGGGTTACTTGGGAGGCGAGTCCAGGGTTTGGTGAGCGGATAACTGGGAGGCACAGAGGGAGATGAGATGACAGACTGAAAGACATGGGAGGAAGATCAGAGTGTTGTTCAGAGGGGGTCTCTGGCAGGGTCACTGGGTTAGTAAGTGGTAGGGTGTAGTGCTGCTCCAAGTGGAGTGGATCTGTCTTCACTACCCCTCTTTATAGCAGCAGATCTATGACCCTAGTGGCAGAGGCATGCCCAGGCAAGGGTCAGCCCTGGTGTACTGAACATGTGCACTTCAGGCAAGGACGTGCAGTTCCAGGTGTCTGCGTTGCAGTAGTGGGTTAGCTGATTTCTGTAGGGTCTTTGTCTTTCAAATGCTGGGTTTCTGTTCTGTTCCTGGGTGAATCAATGGAAGGCAGTGATCTGGTCGTTGTGCTGATGGTCCAGTCATTGAGTTGATTATTCAGTAGAGGCCTGCTACCATTGTATCTCAAGCACCCTCATTCATCCCCCTTCATTCAGGAACCAGTTTACATGAGACTGGTTAGACACGAGTCATAGGTTACACCCAGGCAGAGGACACAAGATGGAGGTTTGACATACAAAATGGAAACTTGACATAACTTGATATTACTTATGCTAACATATACATGTAGGCCTAAATCATATAGTATCAATAGAAAAAACAGTAAAAATCAGTAAAACGGTAATCGCACAGTAAAAATCAATATAAATGTAATAATTATACAATATAAAACAGTGGATATCCATAACAGGGCACTTATTTGCAAAGGAGAGAAAAAAATCCCAACAACTTGCTACCAAAATAAAATGCTAAAGCTTATTCTATGTCTTAGCTTACTCATACTTATGTATAGGGAATAGAGAGGGAGAGAAAGTCAGAGATAGTTGGGGAAGGGAGGGAATGCATTTTAAAATTTAAAAAAAAAATTGGGGGTTTTGCTACAGGGTAACACTGCCAATACCTGGGCACTGGTTTCTGTTAGGACTCTTTGCATCCTGGGGTATGCAGACCTTGCAAGCTTTAGGGGTGCTTTGACCCCTAGTAATATCCTTGGGTGCTTCTTATAGCCTGAAGCTCCCTAGGAAAATTTCAAGTAGAACTGAGTCAGTTAATAAACAGCTGAGTTCTGCTGGGTGTGAAACATCTCTGACCCTTCCCACCTCAGGCATTCACAGCCAAACATGCTGCAATCCCAAACCCTTTATTGTTCAAAGGGGAAGAGGAGAGTGGGGGGTGGGGGAGGAGGTGGACCATGGAATTTATGATAAAAGCACTGTGAGCAAGTTCTAATAAATTGAGCCTATCAAATATGGGATTGGTGGCCCTTCTAATATGCGACTAAATTACTTGGTTCTAAGCTACTAGCCAATTTTCAGGCATACTCACTAATTCGTCCCAAGAGAGCCTCTCTAGAGGTCCATGCTTGTGTGTCCCAAAATGACTGCCACAGGAAGAGAGGAAGAGGCAGCTCTCCTCACCTCAGGCATTTTTACAGCCTGGTTGCCTGGTGACCAGGTTGACCAAAACCGGGCAGAGCGAGAATGGGTGTGGGGGCTGGAATGTCTTCGGGGGGTGGGGGGGATTTTTTCACACCTAGTAACTATGGAATAATTTGTTCAGGCATGAGCATAGATACATGAGTGGGATTAACTAACAGTGGGTAACTTCTGCACTTGGCATTTGTAATAAGGACTTCAGAAAATAGTGCAAGCCCTGCTGTATTTTACAAATGAATAGAACGGGATGCAAAGGTAAGGGACTCCAAGATGGCAGACCTTTGTCTGAAGCTGAGCATTCCGTTATGTCCTGTTGCTTTTTCTCCTTGACATCCTTTCCATGCCCCCCAGCATGGGTTCTGCTTTGGCTCTGCTGCCTAGTGAGAACAGGGGGGCCATGCTCCAGCCTCTGCAGCTGCTGTTTCTTGCGGGCAGCAGCTGGGGCTCAGCCACTGCTGGGGGGCGGGGGCTGCAGGCCCTGGCCCTGGGGCACCTGGGGAGGGTGGGAGGCTATGGATTGGTGGTGAGGGCCATTAGCAGGGCCAGGGGGCTGTGGTTCAGGGGTGAAGGGCAGGTGGGGGGCTGTGAGTTGGGAGTGATGGGCCATGCTGAGGAAATGGGGTCATAGTGCAGGGCAGTGGGCACGGGGCAGTGTGTGTGTGTGTGCGTGCGATGGCTGTATGGCACCGTTCCTGCTTACCATGTGGGAGATCTGGGTTCAGGTCCTAGCTGAAATGGCTTGGGGTGAGTGAGCTAACGAGAAGCACAGCAGTGTGCATGCGTGCGCTGGCATGGGGCAGCGTGTGTGTTTGCGTGTGGAGGCCCTCCTATATACACATGCACTTACACCTCCCCTTGCACTTCCATACACAAACCCCATCCACCCTTCCCCCATGCCCACCCACACACCCAGAGTCCCCACAAACCTTTATCCACCCCCTACAATATATAATAATAAGACTTAATTTTAAGCTATTGTGCAATCACCTCTGTGTACGCTACGCAAATGCATGTGAATCAGGACAAAAATATTTTTTTAAAATATGTGTGAGAAACCAAATTAATGAATGTTGTAGATGATCACTTTTTAGAATATAATTTGGTATTTTTCTGCTTCTGAGTTGGCATAACCCCTTGCTGAAAGGAGTGCTTCTGGGGGCAAGGAGAGGGAATTCTGGTGGCAAAGCGGGTGGCAGGGGTTAGGTCAGGGGTGGGCAAAATGCAGCCCACGGGTGGGATACAGCCTGCCAGGCCATTCTTTCCTGCCTGCGGGGCCCCTAAAAAATTTAGAAAATTAATATTAATCTGCTTCTGGCTGCCTGTCATGTGGCCCTCGATGGCTTGCCAAAACTCAGTAAGCAGTCCTCTGTCTGAAATAACTGCCCACCTGTGGGCTACAGGGTGGGACTTCTGGTTACAAGATGGCGAGCAGGGGGTGGGGCACCTGTCAAGGGTTGGGGCTACCCATGCAGCCTTTGACAGCTTGCCAAAACTTGGTAAGCGGTCCTCCGCCTGAAATAATTGCCTGCCCCTGAACTAGAGCCAGGAGAAGTGGCAGCAGTGCAAGCGCAACTGGAAACTGTCTGTCCCCAGCACGGTTCATAGACAATGCCCTCTAGTTCACTGGCCTAGATCCAGTGTCTTTGCAGGCTGGATCCATATGTTGCTGACCCCTGGGTTATATGATTTCTAGATCAGCGTTTCCCAACCTTCTGGTTCCGGCAGCACACTTACCAGGCCTCTCCTATTCTGTGGCACACTGGCTAAATGCAGGGGAATGAGGGTGGGGTTAGTGGCTGGGCTGGGGGTGTCTGAACACAGCATGCGGATGCAAATCGCTGGCTGGAGCCACGTCCCCTGTCTGTCTGTCTGTCTGTTTGCCCATGGCAGCAGCCGGCGGGGGGCATGGCTCCAGCTCAAAATTCCATGGCACACCTAGACTTGCCTCACAGGACACCAGTGTGCTGCAGCACACCGGTTGGGAAACGCTGTTGTAGAGAACCTGTTTATATCTATTTTTGAGAGTGGCAAAAATATTTTCACTTGCCTTTTACTCAACTATTACTAGCTTTGTAACTTAATTATAAAACCAAACATTTCTAGCTGCCTTGATATTCCTCTTCCCTAATTGTCTGTAATGTGATACTGTCCAACACAAGTGTTTTAAGTGGATAAGCAATCATGACTTTGAGTGCAAGGTTGTGGAAGTTGCTTGTTCTTTACATGTACTCGTATCTCAGTTTAAAAAAATAAATTATGAAAGTAATCTTTCTTCCTTTCTGTTTTTTGATGTTATATAGTACAGCTGCAGTTATTCCTGTCATTTGTTCCCACAAATTAATTAAGTATGCTGGACATTTTTTTTTATTATTATTAAGAACGTGTGAAAACTAGATCCATTTTGTAATTGTTCTATTCCTGATTAACTTCTAACGTACAGTAGTACTGTCTGATACCACAGATGGTAGCCGTGATGTCATAAATAGTTATGATTTTCAGCAGTGAATAATCCATAGGAACAGAAGAACTCAGAATAAACCAGTGCTCAGGTATTTGGTGATATGACTTTGCTTTTGTTTGTGAGATGTTTTTTCTCCCTTCAAGAAGATGGAGAAATACAGCAAACGATAAAAAACAGGACATAAATGATTTCTGAAAGGCTTTGATTAAATTGTCAGCAACTCAGGAAATATGTGCTTCAGACTGGGGTAAGAACTAGAATATTTGTATGAGTTTTCAGATTATGTTCTTACTGGACAAGTAATGTTGTTCTCTGTCTAATGAAGTATGTTTTGGAAAACTAGTGATGTTCTTTCCGTTATCTGGAAATGGCATTGGGCATTGAAACAGGATGCAGTCAATTTTGACTGTTTCAAAAGGATAATTATGAGATGGTAAATAATTGATTTAAGAAGTTAGGCACACAAAATAATCATGACTAGACACTTGTTGGTATCTAAACAGGAAGGCATAGAGAGAGTGCTTTGTTAACTTGGAGGTAGGAAGTTAAACAGGTATTTAATACAAATTAATTGGTTAATAAGTAGTTGGCATGTAGATGAGTGACTCTTAAGTTAGAGATTATTATGGTATAATTTATTAATTTTATTTCCTTGTAATGTCAGAACTGTTGAGTTAGATTTTTGCTTGGTGCTCAGTTTGGTTGTGTATGTGTTTTGAGTAGCATGTCGCTTAAATTCTGTTTTCCTTAAAGCAGTCATAATTTTGGCTTGTACTTGAACAAGTAAAGTTAGGAAATGCAGATTACATTTTTTTTTTTTAAGGCTTTTCTATGTTCCTACTTGTATCTTGACTGTTTAGATTAACTGTAGGGTCGTCTTTTTGCGCGCTTCAGTAAGTTCAGCATTTTTGAGCTATTTTGATTTTGAAAATGGTTATTTGAAGAATTGGGGAAAGTATTTTAGTACCCAAAGCTGCATATACAGTCTGGATGCAGTATGTAAATGTTAGTTCTCAGTTGGTTGAAATCCTGTACTTGGAGTTACCTTTCCAGTTTGGACAGATCACATTGGGGTCTGCAGAGTTCTCTCCTGAGTGTGGTACTAGAGTTTCATGTGGATATTGAAATAAAGAATACACTTGTAGAAGATACTACACTGGATCAAACTGCAAGTTTTGTAAGCACTTTGGCAGGACAGAACCAGATTCAGAAATGATCCTGAAAGATTGTAAAGGGTCAGAAATAAACAAGATGACGCACAACAAAGACAAGTACAAAGTGCTATACTTAGGAATGAGGAATCAAATATAAAATGGATAGTTGGCCAAGCAGCAGAAAAGCCTCTAGGGCTTTTGGTGGATTACATTGAACGAGGCAAATCTCATTCCAAGTATTAATACAAGTATAATTCTTCTCTATGTGGTGAGGCCTCATCTGGAGTACTGTCAGGTTTAGGGCAGTGGTGTTAAACCTTTTGGTCCTGCAGGCCAGATGAATGAAGTAGAGCTGGTCTGTGGGCCAGATTGAGCCCTGCATACTTGGATCTGGCCCTGGGACCTGGCACAACCTCTTCCCGTCCCTGAGTGCTGGGAGCGGGAACTGGAGCCCAGCCTCATCATGAAGGAATATCTGAATGGGCCCAGCACACTCTTCTGCCAGGATTGGTCCCTGTGGGCCTGGCACTACCCCTTCCCCCCATGCTCACGCTTGGTTTGGGTCCCAGGGGTCTGGGACTGTTCCCACATGGTCCCCTGCATGCCAGGATTGGGCTCTGGGCCTGGTGCTGCCCCCCTACCTGGCCCTATGTGCTGGTTTTGGGTGCCTGCTCCAGCTCGCAGGGCCTGGGGCTCCCCACAGGTCCAGGAATTTGGTGGTGGGGGAGGAGCTCCAGAGATAGGCCTTAGAGTACTGGCCAGAATGGGATTGGATTTCTCCAGATGTCCTGTGCCTTCCCTTGCACAAGGATGGACAGGGCCTGGTTTGTATCGGCAGCCCAGATGCCCATGTTTTGCCTTTAGGCCCTGCAGAGGTTCCTTTACTGCAGTGCTGGTCAGGTGGTATAGTGTCTAACTCAGGGGTGGGCAAAATATAGCCTGTGGGCTGGATCTGGTCTGCCAGGGCATTTTATCTGACCTGCAGGACCCCTAAAGAATTTAGAAAATATTTACCTGCTCCTGGCTGCCTGTCAAAGATAACAGGAGCCACAGTTAGTAGGACTCTAGGGGAGCAGAAGCCCAGCCCCACCCCACCCCACCCGCAGTCATTTCCTTGCCTTTCTGCCCCCACACTGCTCCAGCACCATGTGGCTCCTGGCTGCATTGCCGGATGGAGCACAGGGCTGCACCTGTACCATGGTGTGTGTGCGCGTGCTTATAGGGCAAGTCTTACACACACAGTCCACCATACAAATACACCCACACCCTGCCCTCACACTGCCATATGCACAGACCCCCACACCCTCTCATACACCGCAGCCACCCTCCCCCCACACACAGTCCCCCACACCCCACATATCCACCCATACAACCACATGCTCACTGACCCCATACCCACCCACCTGACATACCAGCATAAGACTTCATTTTAAGCTAGTATATACAGTCACCTCTATGTACAGTACAGAAACACATGTAAACCTCAACAAAAATATTTTTTGAAATCAAATTAATGTTTTAGATGTTTGCTTCTTAGAATATAATTTGGTATTTTTCTGGCTCTGAGATGGCAAAACCCCATTGCTGAAATCAGTAGTTCTGGAAACAAGGGGAGGGACTTCTGGTGACAAAGGTCAGGGGTTAGGGGGTGGGACTTCCAGTCTCAAAGATGGCAGCCAGGAGGTGGGGCACCTGTCAAAGGGCACAGCTACCCATGTGGCCCTTGACAGCTTGCAGAAACTTGGTAAGCAGTCTTCTGCCTGAAATAATTGCCCACCCGTGACCTAATTGGACATGCTTTCTGCCACCTCTGAGAGTGCTGATGTGACTGGCAGCTCTTTTACCTGACAGGTGTCCCCATGTGATCCCTTGGCAAGCTGCTGGATTTCTACCAGGACCCTTAAGGGCCTGGAGGTTAGTCATGTCTTCCAGGTTCTGAGATGAGGTCACCCAGGGTGCAGACCTCCTAGCCAAGCCCCTTTTGAATTGCCCTTAGCTGGTGATGTCAGCAACAGAGGTGCTCTGGATGTGCTGGAGGTTGGTCCTGGCCAACATCACTCATATTGGGGACCTTCTGGAGTATGCCAGGAAGGAGTGGGTGGATCCCTCTGCCTTGGCCCAGCGCATGGAGCTGCTTACCCTGTGTGCTCCCTGCTGCTTACTTCGGTTAGTTGAGGCCGTCCTGCCACCCACTTACCTTGCATACATCCAAGAGGTCCTGCACAAGGGTAGTCCTTGCCCAGCCATATCCCCTAGTGCTCTGGACTTAATCATAGGGTCCCTACCTCAAAGTCCTATAGCACTTGTTACCATATAACCTCAGAAGGGCGGTGCTTATAAAACTGGTCTGCTTCTGAACAGCCCACTGCCAGTTCTACATGCTCATGCTCCATACCATCCACCATGCTATCTTTATGTCCCACCCAGACCCAAAGTGACACCTTTGGGGAGGGTGAGACCTAGGTCTCCTGCACAGAGAAATCTCTGCAGATTTGTATCTACCATACTTCACTTACTCCCCCAACACCTGCCTTTTCTGTCAGAGGGAGACCCTGGCACTTACCTAGTTCATATGTCCACTGCCTCCTCAGGAACCTCTCTTGAGGTTCTTGCTGCATTTCTCCCACACCTTTTATTTTATGCACTTCCTATCTGTGGCTCCACTGAGTCCTAGAATGTCCTAGTCAACCTCCTTCTCAGAGTCACCATCTACTAGACCAGGAAGGAAACCTGGTTGTGGGGGGGGAGTCCAGGCCGCCTCCTTTTGCAGCTGAAGAGACCTAGCCTTCCTAGTCTCTTCTGGTATGCAAGCTTCTCCATGTCCTTGATCTCTTTGATTTTCTTTCTGTGGACCTTTTCTAATTCTATTACATCCGTTCTGATATGTGAAATCCAGAACCAGAAGATTTTCCATTCACAGCTGAACTGGTGCTTTGGCTGGAGATGCTTATGAAAAGGTAACATTTCTCTTAGTTTTAGCAAGCTGATCTCGGGTCTAAAGCTGGAAAGAATGAATTGAGATGAATCAGCTGCTTCTGTTCTTGCATAAAATAATGGTGTGTGAAAGAGGTACGTGAAGTCAAGGCTGTTAGTGTTGTGATAACTCAAGGTTGGATCTTTTCAATAGAATTCTTACCTGATGCTGTTCTTGGGCTCTATCTAAATGGTGTCCTTGGCCCTCTTGGGGAGGGATGCTGTTATATGTCCTGTTCCTGCCCATGTGTGCCAAGCCTTGATATACATCAGTGAAGCTTCTCTGAAGTTGCTTTCAATGACTGTTCTTTAGTTTCAATCTCTAGCATGCTGAGAGGAGTCCCTCTGGAATAGCTTCATATCTGCAGTTATGGAGGAACACAGTGTAGACATAGTACGGCCTTTTTTGGTGTTGAAAAGTTATATGAATGTAGAGGCTAAGGGTGACATCTTGCTTGCAGTTTGAGAGGCCTGGTTCTGGTTGACCTCAAATGGATTTTCATTTGTAGCCAGCCTTTAAATTGTAATTTTGTATTCCCAGAGGTAGCTGATACGGTGATATTTTGATTTAATGATGCAGCTCAAGGTATGCCCTATGTATAAGGAGATCGTGTTATTTCTGTTACATACCACCTTTCATAACATTCTAATATTATAAAAGCCTCTCTGTCCCTTGGTGTAACGCTTTATATGCACTCTGATTGGTTGTCTGAAGCAACCAATCAGAGTGCTCCAAGAGCGTTTTAGACAGGAGGCAGTGGTGACAGAGCGGGGGGGGGGAAGAGGAGGGGGAGAGCAGCGCTGCCCTGGTCCTACTCCCTGGAGGTGGCGGTGACAGAGCAGGGGGGCAAGGCCAGTGCTGCTGGCCTCGGTTTCCCCCGCCCTGCTCCCTGAAGGCAGCAGCAGCACAGGGTGTTGCCTGAAAGGAACGGAGGGAATGGAGGGGTGACTCCCCCCCAGCTCCTGGGAGGTCCAGCTCTGGCCCTGCCCCCCTGCTGTGGCCTCACTGCCATCACTGGGCTCTGACAAAAGCTGCCAGAGAGATGGAGGTGGCAGGAAGGAGAGGAGTGGGGAGGGAAGCAAGAAGAGGAAGGGGAAGAAGGAGGACCCGGGCAACTAT